GACAAAAAGAACAGAAATTTTAAATATAAAAGAACCTTCAGAAATTACAGACAAAGGCGCATTTTCTAACTAAAACTAAAAACTGAAGCTACCATAATGTTTTAGAGTTAAACCTGATGCTGTCCAAAGCAAATAATACTCTAATAGGTGAGATAAAATAGATTAAAAACAGAGATATCACAAGACAGCCACTCACGCGAAAAGAGTCAAAGAGTAGCTGCGGAATTGCTGCGTGACATTTCGCAAACATATGTAGACCCTGATAAACAAGAACAAGATGCTATATTAGTAAATAGGATAACTTACATACAATACAATTTGTTAAAGCATTGAAGGAGAGATACCATACGTTATAGGAATCCATGAGGTAAAAGGATGATATTTATTGTAAGTAAGCTTGTCCATCTTGTATATATACTCAAACCATAGGTATCCCACCTGGAAATTCAGACTGTCAGAGATCAATATTTAAGAAGCAGGGATTTTCCTGAATACGACATTATAATACCGTTAAGGCTATCAAAGAAACAGCTGATTTGATCGATGTTTTACGCTTCCATTCTGCTTCCTCCAGTTTCTCCATCCATCTCTCAACCTATAAAGATATATGCCAATTGGTTAGCTACTGACTCAAAAGAATGACAAAACCTAAACAGATGCTCTCATATTGAATCCACCAGTCAAGTACGAAAAATTACACCAATGACAAAACTGGACTGGAAAATGGGGGAAATGGACAGGATTTTAATCAAGACTTACAGTTGGATGATAGTAAGCATATATCATTCCAATTATCCATATGTATCGATCAAGGCCCGACCGAAAATGCCATTCATGTAAGAGGGGTAAACCTGGTTTCGCAGGATCTGTGTAGCCTGCAAATTTGTTTAGCAATTTTGGTCAGTGGTCTGCACCATTTGACATGGTAAATAAAGCTGTACCAGTTACTTACCAAGGAGGAATGTAAATGGCCACCAAAGCAATTCAAACACTCCAGGTATTTCCCACACCAAGATAACAACCAAGAAGCAAGCGGCGATTTTCACACCTATCACTGACCCAATTTCATTGTACTTGTTCATAATACCAAGTGCCCCATAAACCATAAGAGTGAATAGAGTGTGCATCGGACAGATGTAGTACAGCACGTAACTGTTGTTAAGGATAACGCAGCAAAACAGTACCAAGAAATTAAGCCGCCACATCATCTACACAACAAAAAGGAATGAGATGAGTTATATAAATGCTAAATATGGCAAACTCACCCACGCAATCTTAGAGATCTAGGAAACCCCCAATACCTGTGCAAACCTTGCTAGGCTGAAATCTTTGCGAACATAATAATAAGAAAAGTTTCCAAACCCAGTCATCCAGACATATGCAGCAATAAATACCCGGATTGCATTATAAATTTCTGTTGCAGCAAAATAGTGGTACAACAAAAATAACACCTGTGACATAGAGCAAAGAAGAGTTAGACCTCAATGATGATAAGACCGACATGGAAAGCCAGATGACTTGTATTATTAATCTCTATGACAAAAGCATGGTTTGGTGAACATACGTAAAGACCTAATGGTTTTTATATTGGACATAGGTACCAAAAAGTGCACATTTAACAAGTAAACATCATAAAAGATTACAAAATGACCAACCTGCATCCAGCCTTTCCACTCTTCAGTTTGATGCCTATTCAAGTAAAGTATAGCTTTCCCGGTTAAGGGAGACTTCTCATTATGTATCGTGAAAGAAGTCATTGCTGAAACTATGATGAGAAGGAAGTATAGAAATATGAAAAGATCCCGATTGTAACTCTGCACAAACAGAAGACATTCAAGAACATAAGGCTCATCACAGAAAGATATTTAAAAAAAGTTTAAATATAGATGATTTTTGGCAGTACTTTCTTTTTATCAAATATTTTGTTGAGAGACACTGCTTCGTTCGAAACCAAACATTGCCGATAATGAAGAGTGACATGTTTAACATAATATGACTAAGTTATCAATGTCACCTTTGTTGATGCATTGAAGAAATCCGTACGGTCGCATAAGTAGAAGTATGCTAACAGGACACTAAATTCAGATCTGTAAGAGAGACACAGAGAGGCAAGGTCATCATTCTGATACATTAAAAAAGGATATACCTTTTATTCAAGCCATGAAAAAATTCACTTACATTGCCCTAAGCGTCAGCCGATTATCAAGCAAGAAGGACGACTCCATCAACATGAACCTAAACACATATAATGACCGTTAGGTGTTAGCACATGGCTTAGCAATCATTAACTAACAACTCGGGGTCCAATGAGTGTCATTTACAAACCTGAAAATTGGCGGATATCCAGATGGAGTTCGAGCTTTCGGGGAGGCAGATTGAAGACCTCCTCCCTCCAACAAAACAGCTCTGTCATCCTCTTTAACCGCCTCCTTTTCCACTTCAACCAAATTCACCTCGGAGCACCTACTAATGTTAAAAACCAATCTCACTCAGCACAAACCCGAACGATCTCATTTCGATTACTCACATCCACAAAAACTACAAAAAATTTACACATACATATACATACAAAGTTTGAGCTTTCGGTAATGCAATGCTTAAATGCATAGAAATTAAATGAGCTAAAGCGCAACAATTGTTCAACTCACAATTTGGAAGAAAGTGAATTCTTCTTGTACTCCAAATACTCGGCATAAATCCAAGCTGAGATTATCGGAATAACTCCGAGCAAGAACGAAACCTGCAACCACACGGAACAGAATCATCACTATCTTTCAACAAAAATCACCACTTTATACCAAAATCAGTGACAAAATTACACTAATCCGAGAAGCAAGGGCTTGAATTCGAGCAAGATCTGGAAGAAAACAGTAGAAGCTGAGAAATCGAGTACCTGGCCGACAGTTACAGGGCTAAAGATCATCATCATCTTTGGAAGGCCGTGGATCGGACGGAGAGGAGAGATCAATGAGCAAGCATTTCACAGATCCGATTCGATCAGCGGCTGAAATCTGAGGACGCAAATGCAATGTCTGCGTTGTAATATACGCTGCGATGCAGAGTATTCAATTTAGAGAGAGAGAGAGAGCGTCGGAGGGAAGAAGAAGGTGAAAAACTACTGAGGAACAGAGACGCAGTGTGAGAGAGAGAGAGAAGAGAGAGAAGAGAGAGAGAGGGTGCGAGTTAATGAGTGACAACTGACAACCATACATGCTTGCAATTGTTTTCTTCTATTTTTCCTTTTTCTTTAGTGATAGCACCATTTCTTCTAACTATTAAATCGTTTCATTAATTAAATTTGTACCTTTCGATTTTTATGGGGCGTTGGATTTGGATCCGACGGTGTGGATGTGGATTTGCGGGTCTCACTTCTGATTTTTCATGAATTCTGCCTAAACGTGTAAATAGATCGGATTAGACCAAATACAACTTCATACAGAAAGAGATGGTAGCGTCCATGTCCATTGTTGCATTATCATGCGAGAGAACACCGTTAGTAGCATTATAAAACGATATCGTGGTTGCAAATCATATCAGAGAACACCGTTTAGTAGCAAATCTAACAAACTTGATCCACTCACCTCCAGTTTTCCACTAGGGTACTACCAAATCGACCTCACATTGACCAAACTGGCCTAAAGGGAGGCTTGACAACTCATATTGAATTTTTATAATTACTGCAAACTACAAAGACAACTAATTTGATTTCACATTGCACAGAACGAGCTAAGAGTGATTTTCGGACGAATCATATTAATAACTAGATTTTCAATTTCCATTCCAAGATCAAATCATCTCACATTTTTCAAACTCACCGTAAATTTCCCTTTTTGTGTTGGTTGTCTTATTTATGTATTCAATTTTGAAGAGAGAGAGAGAGAGAGAGAGAGAGAGAGAGAGAGATGCAACACTAAACTTGTACCATCCAACCTTGCAATTTGGGTAATATCCACAAAATTCTATTATCTATTTAGTTTGAGGAAGCACTTGATTCAAGTAAATGGAACCATAATGCTTATAATAAATGTTTCCAATTTTGGGCTCTACCCACCTATCAAACATGTCCTATCATTTTTTTATTATATTTTTATTTTTATAGTCTTATCCTATTTCTATATTTTTATAATTTAGAGAGGTTTTTAAAACAATATGAATTAAAATAATATTGATAAAACTCCATATTTTAATACAAATTTGATTGGAGGATCCAAGGACCGACCATCGTCAAGATTCGTTTCCATATTTTAAGCAATGCCATTGCCATTGCCGTCTTGGATATTTTTATCAAATTTCTTTTCCTATTTTGTTTTTTATTTATTTTTTTTAGATTTTCCTATTTTATTTGGTCTACTAATTTTTGTCGGCGGATTTTGAAGAGTTCGGATCATTTTTGTTCACTCAACAAGGCCCAACAAAATCGTATTGTGCGACGAAATCTTAATAAAAAATATTTTCATTTTTTTTTTTAACTTTTCACGTATTTTTATTTATTTATAATTTTATGGACATAAAACTAAAGTAATTAAATAAAATCAATTCATATTTAACTTCAAATTACTCATATGTTATCAGCTATTATTCTTTAATTTGCAAATATTTCCTCTCAAAATATACTAATTGTGTTTTTATTTATAACCCACTCTATGTCTAGTCATAGTTTAAACAACAAAAGCTCTTACTCAACGGATAATTATAAGAGCTGCACAAATCATAATCAGCAAATCTACTCGACTATGAAATTCATGGTAATCTAAGAAACTATTTTTTTTTAAATATTTTGAATTCTAAAAACACTTCATGCAAAAAAACACCAAATATATACTTCTTGATGCTTATTGCAAAAAGCATTTTGAATTTTTTTTTTAAATTGACTTGCATTTTTACAAAAAATTCGTGCCGAAAATATTTTCACTAAAAACAATTTTAAAAAAACTTCCAAACCTATACCTCCCCGTTTCAACTCTCAATCTCATCAATCATCATTACAATTTACAATGTCATTTGTGCAAAAATTCATATAAATTGATGATGGTTTATTCATTCACAAACTAAAAATGACGGTCCACCATTACATATAGAAATAGAATCAACCATCATCGGATTAGACATTCAGATCTACCAACCTTTCAAGTTCCAAGTCTCAACCAACCAAAAGTTCAAGAGTTCAAAAGGGTCCTACCTAATAAACCTGCAACCAAACCTACCAGATAAAAAACACAAGAGAATACTGAGAACACTATCAAGCTTAATCAAGTTTCTTAAACTTAAACTTACATTAACTTCTCTAACACCAACCTCTTTCAAATTGACTGAGCATTAACCACATATGAAAAGCTTCTTGTAAACCTACGAAATTTACTCCACCATCATACTACTACACCAACATAAACAGCACCACAGAATTCCGAATTCATCCTATCCTTCTTTCTACATGCGTGACGATGAGTTTAAGCGAGGGTGAGAGAGAGAGACTGACCCATTTTGTTAATGGTCCGTCCTCTAACCCCTATCGTTTGGAGGGTCTCTCATCGTCCTCTCCTCCATCACCATCGTCGTCGTCATCTGAGTCATCTTTGTCCGATCTCTTTCTCTTTGGGGGAGCCTCCACCTTCCCACCAGCATCATCGCCCTCCTCTTCATCTTCGTCAACTCCATTCTCTTCGGGCTCAAAATCGCTTGCATCTTCCTCATCCTCAGCGCGACCTACTGGGCGGACGAGGTACTCAGTTCCTAGCTCATCCTGCAGATTTTCAAAACATGTCAGCAGCAGTTGAACCAGCACATACCATAACAAAACAGAAACATACACAACGGACAAATGAACCGATAACAGAAGCTGCCATTCAAACAATTACAATAAACGAGCAACTACGACAGTCGGCATAAACATAGCTGGTAGCCTGACAGATCCGTTAGGCTTGTCGCTGTCAAATTCCGACAACGGGTAACTACGAAAGTAGACATAATTTGTGAACGAAGAACGGTAATCTCAAACGGCTTTAGGCCGAAAATCTTTTCGATTTAAAAGCAACACTAGCCACAGCGACAACAAAAACATATAAAAAAGCCAAATTTACACAAGGGTAAAAAGGAAAAGCTCTTCGATCTACTGAAAATAAAGGATCACATCAACAAGCAACAAAGAAACCAAATTAATCTGTACCAAAAAAGAAGAACAAAATTAATAAAAGGCTTTAAGAATAATTTTAAAAAGTTTTATGACAAGCCTAGCAGAGGCAGAGAAATAAAAGCTGCAAGAAAATATGATGGAGGACTTTTCTCTAAATTTGGCTAAAAGAGAAATCTTCTCACTGGAGGAAATAAATATTTAGAAATCTCAAATATAATACAAATTAATAAACTATATAGCCATGCTTCACTGCAAATACACAGACTAACAGATCGCAGAAAAATATTGGAAATCTAATTAAAATTAAAATATATATATATAGGAAAAAATCAAAAGAAAATTTAAATCCAACTTGAATTTCAAGGCCAGACCGCTAGAAAAATCATATTAATAATATCAAAAATTATTTCTTCATATAAACACAACAAAAACATATAAAAATACCAGATCTGTTGAATCGAAACCATAAATGAATAAATAAAAAAGAAAAAAAATCGAAAAATGTAAAGCTTGTGTTTATACCTCTTCCTCAGGCTCCTCGTCGTCGTCGTCGTCGTCGTCGTCGTCATCTCCCTCGCCATCGTCGTCGTCGTCACCGCCTTCGTCGTCCTCGTCCTCGTCATCGTCGTCTTCGTCGTCCACCGCGTGAACCGGAGCGCCACCAGACGACTGTACGACCTCCTGAACATCGTCGTCGTCGTCCTCTTCGTCGTCATCGTCGTCCTCTTCGTCGTCATCCGCGTCGTCGTCGTCGTCCTCATCCTCGTCAGCGTCTCCTCCTCATCGCCTACGCTGTCGTCGGACTCGGACTCAGATTCGGACTGCGACTCGTACAGCTCCAATTGCTCGGCAGTCAAAGGCTTAACTTCGTTTTCCTCCACAACTTCCTCCATAGCCTTCATCTTCTCAAAGCTCACACAAATTTCCAGAGAAAATATGCTCTTTGTATTCTCGAGAAAACGAATTGGGATTCGATTTGGAAGAGGGAGTGAGATAGAGGGAGAGAGGAACGAGAGAGGAGCTGCTTGGTTCGCTCAAGCAGTAGCTCTGCAACCAGCGATCTGAGCCGCTGAAACGCGGGTTGACGCGGATAGGTGACGTGGGGGGAAATCGGACGGTCCTGGTGAGCCAATTTGTATTTCTGCGCTAACAGGGTAACGTGCTGCGGCGCTTCATGTTCACTTTTGTAATCAGATGCTTTGTCACGTGCAAGGAATGGGGTAGTCTGAGGTCACTAGGGTTAGGGTTTCTCTTTGGGTTCTCCAGATTCTGGGCCCATGTTATTGGGCTAGGCTCTTGGTCTATTTCGATTATTTTCTGGCCCATCGTTTTCAGTGGGTCATATGCTGTGGAGCCCCCACCTCCTCCTCGCGTTGTCTTTGTTTGTTTTAACTTTTGCTCAAGTTTTTTTTTTTTAGATATGAGATTGAATACTTTGGTAAAAAAAATTGAGATTGAATAAATAAATAAATAATTTAAAGTTGATATCAGGAGAAGTGCGTAGAAGATGAAAATGTGTGGATAATTATTTCCCTTTTTATTTATATTTTTTTGGGTTTTTTTTTTGAGGTTTTTATAGGCAAACTAGAATAAATATCGTCACTTAGTACTACATTATAATGGTATTTCTCTTTATTTGTAAGTGAGAGATCTTAGCTTTGGTTTTCATTAAAAGCAATTTCGAACCTTATTATTGGTTAAAATTGAATTTGAACCATATTATTGTTAGTTATTGTAAGATTTAGCTCTCTCTTACTTTTTTAGTGTAAATAATATCGTTTTGAACAAACATCATGTCACTTTTTTTTAAAGGAGTGTGCTATCCACACATCCCAAATTACTTCTCGCACACCCCTTGTTAATTTCTGTCCGTTGATCTTCTTCAAGTCATCCGATCCGACGGTCGAAAATTAGAATGGTGTGTGAGAAGTAAAATAGGGTGTGTGGATATCACACCCTTTTTTTAAAGTGCGGATATACTTTGTAAAAATCCAATAAAAATGGCAGAAAAGGCATGCATTATATGTTGCGCACTAGAGCATTTTCTCATGTGTACTTTCACCCATCGAAGATCCGTAGACAGTTTAAGGTAAGAATTTTGTTTACGACAACTTGCTTTCAAGGGAGCAAAAGATACAATATGTCCTTTTACCAAAAAAAAAAAAAAAAAGATACAATATGTCTCACGAGCATTAGTCAAAAATAACCATGACATGTTCACACTAAACACATGAGTTTAGTGGTATTAAGCTGGCAATATTTTATTTGGTTGCATTTGCACCACTTGTAATAATCTAAGCGCTGCAACCAAAAAAATATATATATATATATATTTATGGAGTCGTACACTTATTATCTATTAGATATGATTCATCAATGTATGTAGATTTCATCTATATTAGAAAAATGATATAAATAGACGATAAAAATAATATTTTAAGCATTAATATGAAAGAAAGCATGAATCTTTAGATGTGGTGGATATTTTGAATCAATGCCAACTAGGGTTTGTTAAGTTAAGGATCGTTCTCCTTATTAGGCCGAAGTTTGAGTATAGCTATTGGCAATCTCGCTTCGTAAGCGATCTGTAAAAACCAAGAAATGAGATAAGTCCCCATTTGTAAGTCCTCATAAAAACTTATAGTGCGTCTTGACCTTAGAATAGGGTAGCCTCCCCTCTCTCTAAACATTCTATCATTAAAATATTTTGAACTAGTTGAATTACAATTCTCTTATGAAATAATAGACAAATTACTAAAGTTATATATCAGTGACATTTCGTCTTTATTTGGTTGTTCATGAATAGTCATATGTTTATGGTTTGGTTTTTAATTGTTAGTTACTTTTTGGGTATTTCAATCAAAGGTCTTCATGCTCTATTGACATTTTGGTTTATTGGTAAACTTTCTTTTGGTTTACAGCTTACTACACAAAAAAGTCCCTACGAGCCACATGTCGGTGTCCTTATCTAACTTGCAAAATCATGGCAAAACTAATTAGTGGGCAAAATCTGGCTTTTTTGTGGAACATGGCCAAAATTTTAATTGTTGCTTTCTTCATAGCAACATCGTACACGATGACGAGAAGACTAACATGACAATAATTAATAGTGAAGATTTCTGGTTCGGAAATGCTTCTTTGAAAAATATCATCGTTATAAGCGGTTTTGGTTATATTAAAAGATTTTTAGCCAGCAAATTCTAAAACTTAATGAGAGTGATTTATTTAGGAGAAGTTATATTCGTGAAGGAATTTGCAATGTCTTCTGCCATTCAAACCCGATTAGGTGAGAATTCCAAATTCCTCTGCAAGAAAAAGAAAATTCAAAATATTAAGTATAAAATAAAATAAAAGATTGAGAATGACAGGGTATGGTGTTCAAAGCCTTAGCTACCATAGTAGAAAACCTCCGAGATGAATCCGGATCCTCTTTGGATTCTCTCTTTTGTAATTAAACTCATGTCCATCTAGCAAAGTTGCATGTTGCATTGCATGGGCGGAGCCATGGGACTCGGATGGTCCCATGCCAATCCTGACTTCTTCTTTTTTCACATAGAAAAATGGGAACTTTAACGAAAAGCACCCGGTACTGTTCACTTTAACGAAAAACCACATTTTTACACTAAAAAGTCAATTATGGTACTATTCACTTTACCCTTTATTTTGTCCTTATCATTAAAACTCAAAGTTTTCAAGCCATTTTCATTAGTTTTCCTTAGAAAAATTTGGTGGCTCCTATAGAATTTAGACAATCCGTTTCTTGTGAGTTTTGAAGATGACTTTAGGCTAGAATCAACGGGGGAGAGAAGAAGAAATCATAATGGCTTGGGGTTAGGTTTAAGGAAAAGGATAATGAGAACGAAACTGTACCATACCTAAACGACGTCGGTCGGTTGCTCAAACACGACAAAATAATTTTTGTAAGATCGAGAAAACGTTACAGACTAAGACATTTGTGCCCTTTCTATACAAAAATTATGACTCCACCATTGTTGCATTGCGAGAACATCTTCTGTTTGGGTGCCCTTCCCATCTCATCTTATTTGTGCGGTTACGGTTAAGCCACGTCAATATGTTATATTATTATTATTTTTTATCTTATTATAATAATATAAAATATTAATATAACTTAACCGTGATTGCACAAAATAGTAGAAGATAGAAAAGGCATCCAAATAGGAGTGTAGACAATCTACCTCCATGATATAAACGGAGTAGAATCTATGTCACTGTATGTTAAAATTGATATATATGTAACCTGACAGTCGTCCCCACATCAAATTCTTGACACCACCCAAATAAATCGTAGCTGGAACACGTGTCAATAATAATATTACCTAATAAGCATATAATATAAGACATATCCTACTTAATATTCCAACTTTGTTATGAACATGCTAGAAAGCCCTCTGCCAGAACAAAGAAGTATTTGAGAGAGATCATCTGTTAATCCATCATGTGCGCAGCAAGGTGGTACTCGGCAGCTTTCAGCTGTCTGGATTTCGAGTTCTCTATGCCGTCAGTAGGAATATTCCGGCGGTCGTGGACCGAAATATTCAACCTGTCGTACTTCACTTCTGGGTGGAGTTTGAACTTGCAGAGCTTCGGGGGGTTCGGCTTCTCAATACTCGATGATGTGCTGTGGACGTTGATAACTGTGGTGGAGTCTTTGGCCTTGGCTTGTATGCTTTGCTTCTTCTTTCTCTTCTGTGGTTGTACCCTTTGATTAATCCATGTTAATTTCTTGATTAGTTCTTATTTATATATATGCAGATATTTAGGTTGTGAATGTGTTAGTAAAATTTGTCGGAATTTGCAGAGAGATGTTGGGTTCGTTGGCGAAATTAAGTTGATTAATCAATACAATTTTGCGATATTTGATTGAGATGAGTTGATTCTGGAATTTGATTTGTGTTAGGAGTGCATTTGTTTGGAATTGATTTTACATTTCTTTGTCCTTCAATTTTGTGTGTGTAAATTCTTAATTCATTGCTAATATAAACTTCCTGTAAACTTGTTAGGGTTAGCTCAAGCGATTAGGGAGGGTGAGATAATGTGTTAGGAATATGATAAGTTAGGTTTGGTACTTGTATTATATGCATACGTACCGTATCACATACTGTTGCGAGTGAATCTCACATCAAAGAAAGAAGGGGCTTTGCATCTTGCATGCTTATAAGGCGTTGGTTTTATGTTGAAACTTCAATTTTTTTCATTATATCAGAGTAGGTTATCCCATGTGTCAAGCCCAATGGTCACATATGCTCCACGTTATCCGATTTGTGTTGTCCACATGATATGCTTGAAAATTGGCAGCATGTGAGGGGACGTGTTGAGGGTGAATCATTTCCCTGCCTTGCTTGTGCTTATAAAGAGTTGGACTACCCCTATTGCCAATTGATTTTATGGTGGAAACTCAATTTCTTCACGCACTATACCTGTTTCATATTCTTAATAATTATGTTTGGTATTATAGAAATTTTGATGCCTATTTCTGTATGTTGCATTGCCTTCTATTGATCTAAGATGGTGTGTTTTCTTTAAAGTTGTAATGCAAACCTCTTTACCAAGCTGCTACCCAAAAAAAAAAATATCTCACATTCTTATGGTGATAAATATCTCATTTAACACCACAAAAAGTTAAAAAGTTCAAAAAAAAAACAGGGGAAGAAGAATGCTTTTCCCTGTTAATGCTTTAGCAGCCTACTATGGTCCCTTTTGATTGCTTTAGCTATAGATGGTCGTGCCTCGAGAGAATTTTTGGTAGGGCTACATGACTG